CTCGGATTATAAATATTTTCGCTTATATCATATATTGTATATTCGAAAGAGGCTTTACTGTAATTATATGCTTAAGAACATCGATGGAAGCTTTGATGACATTTTCATCGTAAGCTTTAAATTGCTACAATAATTTTACGTTGTACAATCGTGTGAGACATTTTGCGTTTCGAAATCGACCAGTAGGTAAGCAACAACCTGATATGTAGTTTCGTAGTCAATTAAATATACATACTCGCAATATCTAATCGATTCGATCACATTGGGCATTTTCGTCGAAATATAAAGGTTTCCATGTAATCTAAGCAAATCCTCGCGATGAAAAACTATTACACAGACTTATTTTGTATAAACACCGTACAATAGATGTAAACAGTTTGTATCATCGTGCGAGTTAAACGGTTTGTATTATCGTGCAAGCTAAGTTTGTATTATCGTGCGATATCAAACGGATCAGAAAAATTTTCTTGAAACGGTAACAACGAGGACATTGAAAGGGTTAATAAGTAGTATAATAATAAGATAAAATAAATGTCATCTGTGATTTATTTTGACCAAATTCTAGATGTCTCGAGCTTTAATGTTCCCCGTAACGTTCAAGAGTTCTCATTTTACAAACATATCACGTGGAAAAGCGAGCGGAATGGTGTTTGTCGTGTTAAAATAACCATCCAGTTAAATTTACTTTCCTGGACGATCAATTAACGAAAAATCGAATGATGAAACTGGGACACTTGTGACGAGACCTCGTCACGCGTGAGGAACGATAAGCGTCGAATGAAAATTAAAGGACAATGGAATATATGTAAATGCGAAAGATAGAATGAACCTATTTAACTTTACATATTTGTAACCGACTAATCTTCTTATTAATAGATAGGTGAGCGAAACTACTCTTTTATTCCGATTAACTATGTCACGCATACTGTACCAATTTCATTTGTGACAATTAAAACTAAAAAATGAAGAGAATATAAATTTATAGATACCCATCTTGATTGATGTTCTTTCTCCCCTTGACGTATTGCTTTCAGGACGTGAATCTCGTAAGTATTAGTATTAATATTTAACTGTCGCTGTTTTATAATCGTAGGTATATTTTTTAAAAATTACGTTAATATTTAAAGTTGCAATTGACAACTGTATTTACAATTGTGCAATTTTTTTTTAATAATTAAATAATTGCATTTTTATAACAGCGTGTAGTATGAAGGACACTTTTATATAAAATTCGTTTTAAAGTTCCCGCCAATTGAACAAAAATGGCGGAGTTGATATGAAGGATAGTTGGAGACAGTTTGATATTAATTCAACAATTAATTGAAACTATTATTGAACAAATTAATAAATTAATTGAAGATGCATATAGTAGAGGTATTAAATGTTATTTAATATATTATTATTATACATTATTTAGTATGTAATAATACTTTTAATAATATAATATTATTAAATATTAAATTATAATAATATTTAATATATTATTATTATATATTATTTTATTCGTAATTAACACAAGAGATCAATAATATAAATTAATATTTATAAACAATATACAAAAATTGATATTTAAATATCTAGATTTTTAAATTCTGTTATATCAATATAGTCTGTTTGAAAAATAGAAAATCGGAAAAATTGAAGGAAAGATTAAACTTCATCTGACGATTGATTTAAAAGGCTTTTTTTCTCGAGACTCTCAGCTATCCTTCCGAAGCAATAAGTTTAAGTAGAACGAAAATGAAATCTATTGATTCGAAGAATGAAGAGTAAAGCAAATAAAAAATTTATCGGAACAAATATATAGACGTTGACTTAATAAATCTAGATGAAGATAATGCAGAGGATACGGGTGTTAAAGATGAAGATGACGTGACCTGCATTTATTACGATTCGTTAGGTTCATGCTGAACGTTTTGTGAATACTGGATTCGATATCAAACGTTACAAATGGTGTTTAGTCATGCGTTTTGCAAGTAGGTAAGTTAATACGAATGCTATGTATTAATACTATAGAGAGAGGGTTATGAGTTGAGACATTTTGCATATTATAGAAAAATTATATATTTTTTTTGTTTAAAATTAAGAATTAAAAATTTTCAAATCTTGCACATTTGTAAATTTTAATATTTCTAAATTTCTAATTTCTATACTTTTAAATTCTCAAGTTGATGCATTTAAAATATTCAAATTTCTATTTTTACAAATTTCAGAAATCACAAGTTCCAAAATTTTCAAATATCCAAATTTCTTAATTTTTAAATTTTTGAAAATGCAAATTTTTTAATTTTCAAATATCCAAATTTCTAGAATTAAAGATTTATAAATTTTCACATTTCTAAATTAACAAATTTGAAAATTTAAAAAATTCCCAAGTTTCCAAAATTTGCAAATTTTCAAATATCTAGATTTTTAAATTTCCAAATTTCTAATTTTGCAAATTTGATACTACTAAATTTTTAAATACCCGAATTTCTACATTTCTGAACTTGCGAATTTCTAAATTTTAAACTTCCAGGATTACGAATTTCTAAATTTACAAATTTACCTACCTCATACATATAACAAATGCTTCTTGTAAAAAATATTTTATTCTTATCAACTTTAACAAGTCCATAAATAATGATGACTAATGATGACACTGTAGTACGTAACGATTCGATAAAGTATCAGAAACCGTAATTAAGTGAAATATGATAAACATTCAGAACAACTAATGGAGGTCATATTTGAGTTATGTAAGTTTGTGTTTGGACATGCACTTTAAATAACTAAAACAGTATTTTGCACTAAAGTATATGATCATAAAAAATATATAAAGCATTTAAAATATGTGAAACTATATAAAAGCATATGAAAGTGCACAAAAGTTTATAAAGATATATAAAAATATATAAAAGTATATAAAAGTATATGAAGGTATATAAAAGTATATAAAACTATATAAAAGCATATGAAAGCATATGAAAGTATATAAGAGCATATAAAAGTGTTTGAAAGTATATAAAAGTATATAAAAACACCAGAAGTGATACATAGTTACAGCCTATAATTTTGAAAATACAAAAAATTTGTAATTTTGAAAATATAAAAAATATATAATTTTAATAATATAAGAAATATGTAATTTTGAAAATATAAAAGATCTGCAATTTTGAAAATAATATGAACTTATAATTTTCAATACTTTAAAATTAATAATTTCCAGATTTCTAAGTTTAAAAATTTGGAAACTAGGTAATTAGAAAATTTAGAAAAAGGATTTGGAAACTGGGAAATTTTGAAAATTTAGAAATATGGAAATTAAAAAATTTGTTCCAATCTTTTTCTAACTTTCTAAGTTCTCAAGTTTATAAATTTTTATATACCTACCCGAGTTAATTTGTTAAAAATTAAATATATAGATAAATAAAAACTGATACTGCATCTACACAATAAAGCTGAGAACCTCTGAGTGTATTAAATATTTAAGCAACAGTAATAGCTTTTACGGTCACTGCTCGTTTCCTTTACCGCTTGTCTTTCTTAGCAAATCGTTTTACGTCTTAACAAGAAGGTTTATCACATACTACATTATTCAAATAAACCACCTCAAGAACCACATAAACTTCTTCCAAATAAAAACAAATATCAGGTGAGAAACAACTTGTAACATTTTTTTTTGTTTTAATAGCGTTACAAATATTTAACACGATTTTCTCCAAAATGCAGTTTGAAAAAGCGCGCCAAAAATCTATCAAAGATGGCTGAACCAATTTATTCGAAATTAGATACAGTTATTTTGTAGATAAAAACTAGTACTTGTTTAAAATCTGATACCTTTATAAAAACATACACATTTCAATAAAAAATCTGTTCTTTAATTTTATAAATCCACCATATTGTTAGAAATCAATTTATCAAAAAAGGAGTATGGTAAAAAAGGGATCTCATTACCCCACCTATGGTACAAACAATTTTTCATGGTACAGACACAAAAATTGTTAAATATATTGTGATTATAATAGAAGAAATTTCTTCATAACTTTTTCATAAAAAATTAAAAAAAAAAAATTGTTTAGACGTCCTAAGTGTATGTGCTACTTCTACAAATCTTGTACAAATTGTGTCGATAAATGCAAATATAAAAAGTGTAAAGACAATCTCTAGAGATGCTAGAAAACGAAAAGAAGTTTCGAGAGCGAAACAAAAAGTTTCAATACTAGAGAATACATAGGTCATATTGATTACTTCGACTGACGATCTATTATTCACGTACCTATACTATCTAACTTGCCATTGTATCGTATCGTGTCGTTACCTTTAGAAGCACAAGGTCAGAGATCTAAGGCCATTCGATTGGATTAATTATCGAACTGTTTCTTTTGTCCTCGCACTTTCCTTTCGTCAAACGATTCGCTAACAAGCAGTAATTATACTTGCAATTAGTAAACGTAATTGCACAGTGAAGCGGTGAACTTGAGAAATAAAAAAGAATCAATCTGCATTCGTGTGTTGAAAAGAAAATTGGTTTAAAAATGTAAAAAAAAAACGACCGATTGCGGAATATTAAAATGATTATTATCTTAAATTTATATATATTTACACATAATTTCTTTTTGTACAGATTATTCATACAATTATTACTTAAAACATCAATGACATGCTTTATACGATTATGTCAAATCGTACCGTCGAAATAAACATCACTTTTCATGAAATTATGCAAATTTTTGTACCAGATCGTCATTTGTACATCAAGGTAGCATGTTAATCGAACACGTAGGACACTTTTGTCACTCTCAATGAATCGCTCGCTAAAACATGCTATGAAAATGTGTAAAAACCGAAAGTAAACACCTTTCACTGTACTATTTCTAAGATAACGATCATTTAAACCCTATTATTCCACTGTTCTAATTGAAAAAAAATTAATTTACGATTCATTTTTAAATCTAAATAAAATATTTTGTAATTTATTCAAACAAATTTTAATCAAAGCATTTCATTAATTACCACAGAAATATATAATTGCATAAATAGGTAATATTTGAAATTAAGACTGTGGGCGTTTGCACATAATTAATAATCATTTAATTCTATGTTAAGGTTACTTTAATATAGATATATACTATTAACGTTTTGTAACATTTCTATGCTGTTACGAGAATAAGCATACATGAACTATTATTATCGGACTAAAATTAATGATATTCAATGATATTAAAAAGCATAAATCAGAAGTTGCAGAATTATTAATCTCTTGGATAAACAGAACTCAGAACGAATGTATAAATTTAATTTATACAATGGCATCGAATAGTTAAACTGTAACTAAACGTAGCTAGATCTTAGACACTTTACATGGATCTTCAATGGTTTCTAACCACTTATTCTATCGGTGAAAAATTGGTGTTTACTGTTCCCTTGTATTCTGACATATGTACTTCTTTTAGTACATATTAGAGAATTGCACGTATATATTTTCTTTCGTGTTAACTACGCTTATCTTTTCACAGCCTTCTTGTGAAAATATAATTTGAAAGAAGTTTCAATACACTATATTCTGCATATATAATAGATATGCTTCTATAATAGAATTATTTTTAAAAACAAAAATTGCATCGCTACAACTTTGATTAGTCTGTCACTTCATACAGTAGAGGAGTATTACTCCAAAAAATCTAAAACAACTGTTTCACAGGTTTCGCTACGCCTATGTACAATTGTTCATATTTACAATGTATAAAGTACAACGTACTGTATTAAAAGTTAATTACTTTCCTTAGAAGCACACTCTGTTCTGTTTTACTGTTATACAAGATCCTGAATCACAGTCGCTGTAGAACCACAAGAAAGATGAACATTTCTTTCTCCAAGATCTTCACAAACACTACCATTATTACTGCACTTGTTTTCATTTGTTAATTCTTGACCGAATCTTACATTCTGGAGTTTTAAATCTATTGAGCTTTCTGTTTTGCACATGGTGCTAACATCCGTATCATCCAACCCCAATGCTACGTCTATGGAAGATTCATTTTTGGATTTCAAATTAAACCGAGAATCATCTATATCAATTACGGATTCACTTTCAGAACTTAGTTTCGGATCTATACAAATTGAATCTGAGGAAGGCAACTGTTCAAGTGTAGGTGATATTTCTCTGTTTACTTCTTTGGAGTCGTTAAATTTTTTCATTAATTCTGCCCAAGGATCTTCCAAAAACGATGTCATATCTATGTAGCTAGATATATCAACCTGTTTATGTGCATCCTTCTGATAACCCTAAATGTAAAAGAAAAACATGTTTTGCATCGCTAAATGTTATACGGTAGCAATCGTGAGAGACCAATAGTTAAAAAATTCTGTATAAAATTACCTTTTTCTGACCATAAAATTGTTTACCAGAGTGCTTGTAAGGAGAGTACAAATTATTGAAATTTGTTTTTGGGGTTGAATGATAATTGTTCCTGTAATGGTTAAATCCACCACTACCTGAATTACGATGATTACGACTTCTAGTACCCCGCCAATTACCACTGGGCCTATTTCGTTCTGGTAATGGTGTACTATTATTTAAAGGAATAAAATCATCCCCAGTATATTGTTTGCCCTCGTTCGTCGACATACACACATAACTATCACTTGTAACATGATTATAACCTGTCCACTTTTTATGATCCTCTACCCTCCAATTGCAATTTTGGTTCTGTCTGCTGCTACTTGGCATACTTAATGGTGACTTTTTCATTTTATAATTGTGATTTACACTTGCGTTGTTTCATAGAATCTACAAATATTTACAAATACTTTTTATAAACCAATACACTAAAACGACGCCATACTATCTATTTTAAAGGTTAGGTTTAGGCGTCGATCGATATCTCGAAATAATAGCGTCCCCTGTATATCGACTTGTCGATAGTTATCGATATGTACATTACAAATTGTTTATTATACATTCGTTGTTACATAAATTTTGTTCATACTTATATTTAGTTAATATTTTATTATTATCAGCGACATATATTTTATAAATATAAGCTTTAGTTATTCTTTTCTTATTTAATAATATTTCACTCACATTCTGTGTTATATAATTTTATAAATTTTTATAATAATATATGTTCATAAATATCGCGCGAAATTTTAATAAAAAGTTTTTTATGCAAAATAAAATTTAAGTATTATTTTTGTCGCGAGTAAGAATTCTGTATAAAATTAATAAATAAAATAATAATTAATACCATTGATTTTAGTTTGTACTATCTGTAACTGTTTAAATTTTTGAACATTTTCTAATACAAATTATAAAGGATTCATTACATTTTACAATACGGTGGATCCATCTGCAATGAAATTATCGCAACAAGGTAGGGACAGAACATATTCCCTAGAAGGGAGAGCCAACCGACAACCAGTTTTGATTGGCTGTTTTATGCAGCACTGTCGATAGTATTAGATAAATTGGGTACCTTTTCAGGGTCAGCACCCTTTACATTTCAAATTTAGAAATTTAGGAGGCTTTAATCATTAACAATACAAGTATGAAAATTATATGTCCAGAAATTTAGAAAATTAAAAATTTCAAGTTCTACAAATTCTACGTTTGTAAATTTGAAAATTAAATTATCTAAATCTTCAAATTTTCATTGAGAAAGATAGAAATTATTGAACTTCCAAATTTATATATTTAAACATTTTCAAACTGAAAAATTTGGACAATTTGAAATTTTGAAATTTAAAAATATAGAAATTTTCAAATTTCTCTAATTACAAAATTTCGTGAACCTACAGTAGAATTTATAAACATTAAAAATTTCAAATTTTTAGTCCAAAAACTCCAAATTTATAAATTTTCAAATTTTTCAAAATTTTCAAAATTTATCAGAAATTTCAAATTTTCAGATATTGAATTTTCTAATGCTATATTTAGGAGTATGAAAAACAATTTTATATTCTCTTTCAAAATTTTAAATTAGAATCTGTTAAATTTAGAAATTTTAAAATAACCACTTTTCATATTTTTCAGATTTAAATTTTTAGAAATCTTAACTATAGCATTTTTCTGATTTCTAAATGTTTAGTTTGCATGTTTACAAATTACAAATTTGTAAATTTAGGATTTACGTGATTTTAAATTTATAAACTTTATTCTCTCAAATTTTCAATTTTAGCAATTTAGAAATCCAGATTGAGATATTTTTCGATTTAAATATTCACAAAATTTCAAATTTATATATTTAAAAATTTTAAGTCTTGTAACTTATAAATTTTCAATTATATTAAACAGCAATTTGTTGGAACCCTTTTCCCTTCAAGAATATTTTTTTATTTACGAAACAAACTCACAATAGTACACATTATAGAAAATATAATATATAAAATAAAACATAATATTAAGTATAACATCTCTATATAATAATAAAGACAAGAAGTTGTCTGGCTACGGCGAATGGTAAGTTAATGGTAAGATCCTCTTCCTGACTTTTGTTTATCTTTTGTTTTAGTAGATGAGTAATTTAAAAACAGAATCTTTTTAAACTTAATCGTCGTTGACTTCAGTCAACGACTAACTGGCCTACTAGTAGAAAATATACCAATTATCAAAGTTACTCTCCTAACGAATTCAAAAATACTAGGGAATTTTCGAGTACATTGATATTAAACTGGATAATGCAACTAAAATAACCACAATTAGCATAATAATATTCAGTACAAATTAAAGAAATAAATTTCATAGATAACTTGTTAGTATAGAATATAGCATATCCTACATTTCTATCTTTCTAGGTTCACCTTATCGATACTTGCACGGTTACCAACATTAAGCTAAACAAACGTATTTCAAAGTCACCGCGCCGGTGCAGAGCGCGCCACCACAGCTGCGCGAGGGCGCATGCGCAATGGGCAGTGATGCCTCGGAAAGGATCGAGCATCGCAGACGTAGCTAGTGCTTCGTGTAGCGTGGATAGGCGAGTTTACATCGTGGTTTTGTTCGCGCACGTTCGTCGAGTTTGTGCCCGCAATGGACGGCTTGGTACCTGTTGCACGGCCCGGCGCGGTCCGGTTCGAGTCGTCGTTTTATCGACGTTCGTCGTAATAAAAGAAAGTGATTGATACTCGGTCGAGGATGAACCTGAGCGACCGTGGTTGTTGACGTTTCTCGTGGTGTGACAGTGCTAGCCGCCACCGCTGCCGTGCGTCACGATTTTCGTCGCGTAAAAACAGCGCAGGATTACATTGTTAGCGACGAGCGAAATAATGGGGATCGTGCAAAGCCGTGCCGGCGAGAGCGATGGCGGTGTGCGCGAGGTGTTCATCGGTGGTGTCAAGGGCGGCGCGCCTCATCAATCCTGTCAACCTAGCCTCGGCATGGGAAGTTTGGGTGGACCGCACGCACGGACGGGCAGCGTCCGTGGCGCGCCAAGGCAACCGATGCCCGATGCCGTGGAACTCGAGAGGCGCTTCACCAAAGTGCTGGTGAGTAATACACACACTTTTTGCTCCTCTTCTGCTTCTTCGGATTCCTTTGGCCCCTAATGCACGCATCCGGCATGTGTGTGAAAAAGGTTTGTTTCCAGCGAACTTTCTTCCATGCACACGTTGTCGCACCGTACTGTCACTTTCCTCGAAAAATACCAGCTTTACTGAATACGTCAAAATATCTTGCGGATATTTTGCGGACGTATCTTGCGTTTTTTATTTTAAATCTTTGTCAAAGTGAAGAATAATTGGATAAATTAATTTGTTTCGTTTCTTATTTACCTATTGTATTTTCTCATCTGAAAATAACTGCCTATCGAACCTCCGTAAACGTAAAGTTCGGTACAATAGAGTTGTTACTATCGTTACTGTTGATACATTATCGATATCTTGTTAACGATACATCGATAATGTTGGGATATCGTTAAAATTCATGACAGTGATTGAAGTAGATTGTAATGTGTAATTATATGGTATAAATTTATTTATTGTCACTTGAAATCTAATCCCATGTCAACTATCCTGATATTTTATCGTTTGAATTCATTTATTCGTGTTTACTTACGAATTTAACGCTATATCGATAATATTATTCAGGCTCTGATAATTTCATGCAATACTGTGTATAAATTTGTTATTCAAATTTGCTTCTAGTTCAGCTCAATAGTTAAACTTGTTTAATATTATTGCTTAAATTTGAAGTTTAATCTAATCTGACTTTATGTAATTTTAACATTTGAATGCATTTATTCTTGTTTAAATTATTGACAAGAACTATTCAATTTTAATGATATTGTTCGATAGGTTAAGTCAGATGATGCTAGGTTTGGTTAAATTTATATAAATTTTATTTTATTATTAATTTGATAATTTTAGTTTCAATTAAGGTGGCTTTTTTCAATTTTTATTGGAATACAAAATTTTAAGATATACTCAATTTTGAAGAAGACCAAATAAATAAAGATTTAAATGTATTTTAGAAGCTTTCAATAGTAATAATTTATATATAGAATTTTAGATTTATTTTGAATTTATTTATTGCAAACAAATTATGAATTAATTTATATCTAAATATTAAGATTTAATATTTAAGGAATCATATTCAAATTTGTAATATCAGATTGTTTAAACTTAATGATATAAAAAGTCAGGTTCTATAATTAAAATCTATTAAATGAAATTAAGTTAGATTTTATTACCCATTATCAGATTAAATTAAGATTAGATTAGATTCAGAAGGATGATAGTTAAGGTAGGTTGGATTAGATCAATTTAGGTTTAGATTAGGCTCAATTATGTCATATTGGGATTGGGTTGGGTTGGATTAGATGTGGTTAAAGTTAGGTTAGGTTGGATTAGATGTGGTTAATGCTAGGTTAGGCTGAATTAGATGTGGTTAATACTGGGTTAGATTGGATTAGACGTTCTTAAAGTTAAGTTAGATTGAATTAAATCTAGTTAAAATAATGTTAGTTTCAATTAAACCTAGTTAAGTTTAGGTTAACTTATATGAGATCTAGTTGAAATTAGGTTAGGTTAGATTACGTCAAATTGAAATTGGGTTAAGTTAAATTAAGTCAGGTGATATCAGTAAGATTTATTGCGTTAGATTACATTAAGCTAAATCAAATATTATCAATACTAGCTTAGGTTTAGTTTGTCTATGATCAGGTTTAAATTTTATCCAATCTACTTGCAAACGGTAATAATTAAATTTGACTAATAAAATTGCAAATCACTTTAAATTAAATTTTATCGTGAAAATCCATCAAGATTTAAGTTTAATTAGATTTTGCTACTATATTAAATTAAAATATTACGGTAAATCGCGTTAAATAAGATTTTATCGTTTAACTTTGCGTGTTCGTAAAATTCGAACTTAAACTCGAAATATCTAATCCAACTTCAAACAGGAATAGTTGACCAACAAAATTACGTATTACTAAACAATGTTATCGACATGTCGATGTATATATTCCGATATTATACTTATCGATAACGCTATCGATAGTTTTGTGTAGTTTCGCCGTGACTCACGTACTTAATAATCCACCGTTTTCGATTAATTATGCCATTATGAAACGCGGCTCTGTAACAGGATGCACCGGGTGATTTATAAAAGGCGTTTATTTTCGTAAGACAGTATTGTCTCTGTTCGTTAAAATGCGCCGGTGTGCACGATATTTCAGGGAAGCGTGTATATCGATGCGCATACAAACGACGATTACAAAGCTGTCTTTTGAAGGAGCTTTAGAGGGATCCGTTTACGCCGCAATGCGTGAGTGCCGGGAGTAATAGGATAATAATCGAATCGCGCTGATCGGCCATAAATCACGTGGCTTGTGAACCGTCTATTTAGCTCGCGCTGTACGATAGAAATTTGAAGCGAAAGCTTGTACCGCCGAAGATTGCGTCGTAGAAATACGCGATTGAAACTGGTTAACAACGGATGTGGAAACGTGTATACTGTGTATACGACGTACCTTGCACTTTCATGCGTGTAACATTGACATAAAGCTGCGATCGTATTTATGTTTACTATGTTTGCGGTGTAACGTAAGTAATAAGTTGATCGGCATCAATTCACCCGTGGCCACTGATATCTATGTACGTACATGCGTGTATGTACATTAGTCATTAATATCTAAACCCGAATGAACTCTTGTCAGTGGTTCTCTCGAATATCTGAAACATTTATCTGCATTGCAGATGAACTTGGGTGCAAAGAGGTCAGATAGTTTTCACTTTCTAATTTTTGTGTGCGTATCAAAATATGTGAGGTTTACAATGAGAGAATGGGAATATGTTTTCTTTGACTTGGCAAGATTCAAGTAAGGAGGTTTGTTGAAGAAATTTGACACGTGTCAATTTGAAGCGTTTCAATTCGATGCCTTTGGCTTGGCGCATTTCAATTTGACACGTTTCAATTACATACGTTTCAGTTTGAGCTGATACAATTCTATGTGATTTGAGCTGATGCAATTCGGTGTGACTTAATTTTACTTGATGCAATTAAAGTTTACCTGCTGCAATTCGATGTGATTCAATTCTATTTGACATAATTCAAGTCTACTTGGTTCAGTTCGATGTGATTCAATTCGATTGTATGTAATTTTATGCGTTTCAATTCTACTTGACACTATTAAATTCTACTTGACGTAATTCGAGTCATTTTGGTTCAATTCGACTGTATGTAACTTTACGTGATTCAATTTTACTGGACGCTATTCAATTCTACTTATCTCAATTTGTCTTGCAATTCAATATAATTCAATTCAACGCTATTAAATTTGATGAGTTTCAATTTGAAATAATTTAGTTCCACAATATTCAATTAAACATACCATGTAATTCAATTTAACTTGTTTCAATTCTTTTTAGTCAGAAATTATTCAATTTGACACGTATTAGTAAAAATTATTCAGTTTTATATGTCACAGTTAGTTAACTATTCAATTCGTCATAATTTAATTTGACGTATTTCAATTTTATATAAGTGCAATTCAATACATTTAATTCAATGTGATTCGATTTGACAGGATTCAATTACGCCGGATTTATTTTATATAAGTAAAATTACCTACCTTATATTTACGGTATAGTACATATACTGTTACGTTCGCGTATTAAATGTTAATTTAATAAGATATAAAAACAGTTACGAAAGAATGGTTTTTGTACAACTTTCATTTTTATATGCTTTATATAATTTCATATTTGTCATTTGTTAGTTCTAGAAAGTTTAATTATACACATGTACACATCATCTATTTACTAACATCTCTATAAAAAAATATCTAATTTGTAACATCTAAAACATTTTTATAAAAAATATGTTTATATTCGAGAAATACAAAAGTGGTTATCTGACGGAAACTGTTGTCCGTAACTGTATATCCCTAAACAGTTTGCCCCGCGTTGAAAATGGTTGGTTTTATTCGTTGCGTCACTTTTGTCGCAGCAGTATAATATTTCAAAGTCCCAACTGAAACGCATAAAAAAATCTCCCCTTTACCATGGGAATTCTCAAATCTTCGTGAACTCTTCAGTTATTAACCTATAGAGAATATAAAGTCGCAGAAAATGATAGAACGTTAGTGAAATAGATTTGTCGTAAGGTAGGAAGGCTCTTTGATACAAGAACTCGACGTTCACCAATTTTTTCTTCGAGACGAGAATGTCGAGAGGTCGAATGCAAGAATCGATCTACAGGATGTCCCATGTAACTCGGTCTTGTCACATAAAAACTGATTGAAAATAAAAAATATTAATATTAAATTTGTTATAAATTTTTCGCTCTTTTTATTTAATAACTCTGTTATTCAGGATATAACTATTAAAATAAAAAATATTTTATTACTTCATTTAAGAGTTTAAACACTCAAGTGCGTTGGGTAAATAATAAAGTGTACTATTTCATCAAACTAATCTTTAATAAAACACTATTTACAAAGGTGTATACACTTGAAGAAAGCAATAATGATAATTGATTGACTAGGAAGTGCGCGTAACATGGAGATGAGAAAGTTTTACGTCACGCGAGAGATCCTGCGTGTACGAGCGTCGCGAGGAGACTGACCGAAGAATAAACAAAATATTGCGCATAGCAACGGTTTATGTAGACGCGCAATTTCGGGAATATTCGGCTTCGAGAATGCGCCAATCAGAAACGATGTCGCGAACGTTTTCCCACGCGTGACCGTTTAGAATATTCTGGCAAGATCCGTTACAGATGTCATATTGACATAGTTTTAAACGCTTTATTGAAAAGTTGTAATAAAAGTACAAAATGATAACGCTTCATTTTTCAATGTTACGTACAGTGTGTCCCGATTTACTACGTCAAAGTACAGCAGAATATTCTATGAATAAAAATGATAAAATGTTATATAAACGTGAGTTGTTAAGTGTTTTATCAAAAGATTACGAGGAATATACTAAATAATTGACGATTTTATCCTACATACGAATAATTCTTGACTTTCCTATTTTTTTTTTTTTTTTTTTTTTTTTTTTTTTTTTTTTTTTTTTTTTTTTTTTTTTTTTTTTTTTTTTTTTTTTTTTTTTTTTTTTTTTTTTTTTTTTTTTTTTTTTTTTTTTTTTTTTTTTTTTTTTTTTTTTTTTTTTTTTTTTTTTTTTTTTTTTTTTTTTTTTTTTTTTTTTTTTTTTTTTTTTTTTTTTTTTTTTTTTTTTTTTTTTTTTTTTTTTTTTTTTTTTTTTTTTTTTTTTTTTTTTTTTTTTTTTTTTTTTTTTTTTTTTTTTTTTTTTTTTTTTTTTTTTTTTTTTTTTTTTTTTTTTTTTTTTTTTTTTTTTTTTTTTTTTTTTTTTTTTTTTTTTTTTTTTTTTTTTTTTTTTTTTTTTTTTTTTTTTTTTTTTTTTTTTTTTTTTTTTTTTTTTTTTTTTTTTTTTTTTTTTTTTTTTTTTTTTTTTTTTTTTTTTTTTTTTTTTTTTTTTTTTTTTTTTTTTTTTTTTTTTTTTTTTTTTTTTTTTTTTTTTTTTTTTTTTTTTTTTTTTTTTTTTTTTTTTTTTTTTTTTTTTTTTTTTTTTTTTTTTTTTTTTTTTTTTTTTTTTTTTTTTTTTTTTTTTTTTTTTTTTTTTTTTTTTTTTTTTTTTTTTTTTTTTTTTTTTTTTTTTTTTTTTTTTTTTTTTTTTTTTTTTTTTTTTTTTTTTTTTTTTTTTTTTTTTTTTTTTTTTTTTTTTTTTTTTTTTTTTTTTTTTTTTTTTTTTTTTTTTTTTTTTTTTTTTTTTTTTTTTTTTTTTTTTTTTTTTTTTTTTTTTTTTTTTTTTTTTTTTTTTTTTTTTTTTTTTTTTTTTTTTTTTTTTTTTTTTTTTTTTTTTTTTTTTTTTTTTTTTTTTTTTTTTTTTTTTTTTTTTTTTTTTTTTTTTTTTTTTTTTTTTTTTTTTTTTTTTTTTTTTTTTTTTTTTTTTTTTTTTTTTAATAATTTTATAATTTTATACGCTTTTATATGTACATGATAATACTCCTACATTCGTATACACATTTTTTCTTATTTTTATTTATAGAATATGTCAGTAAAATTATACAGTTAAAATTAAATTATACAAAATTATATAATAAATTAGACAATAATGGAATATCTTGTATGCGACATCAAGCAAGACAGTTCCTTGTCATTTCATGGTTTTGACATAATATTTTAGTAAAGTGTCCGAAATCCTGTGTTGATATAACATTTTTCTTATTTTTATAAGTAGAATATGTTAATAAAATTTTACGATGAAAAACTACGTTACCGCGTACAATTCTTAAGAAATTGAAAGGGACAGATTTTCAGCGAGTCTCAAAAATGTAGCTGGACCCATTTGCATGAAACATCTTGTACGTCGCATGGAAAGGAGACAGAGAATAGAAAGATACGAACGCCTACATAGAAGCGGCTCTCACCAAATAAGATTCGATTGTGCATCGAAACGACCATCGCGGCAACTACGAACATATCGTAAACAAAGAGAGCCCTTTACGGCTCGCATTAACGTACGGTCATTCGATTCGTTATCCTTGTCCCTTCGCTTTATCCATCGAGAGATTTCCTCGTCTTAACGTTCAACCTTCCTGATCTCGCTTCTTAAAATCGATAATTTCGATAATTCTGTATCGTGAATGCTTCTCATTGTGTTCGTCTGGCTACTACTAACCGAACAATTTATTATCGTGAAACTTAAGAATTATAAACGTTTATGTAATTAACTTTCAGTGTAATCTAAATTTACAAATCTTCATATTGAAAAATTTCAGAAACAAAATTTCCAAATTGCAAAATTCCAAAATTTCTAATTTCCAAATTCTCAAATTTCTAGTTTCAAAATTTCCAAATTCTCAAATTTCTAATTTCCAAAATCCCAAATCTCAAAATTTCCAAATTCTCAAATTTCTAATTTCCAAAATTCTCAATCTCAAAATTTCCAAATTCTCAAATTTCTAATTTCCAAAATCCTCAATTTCAAAATTTCCAAATTCCAAATCTCAAAATTTCAAAATTTCCAAATTTTCAAATTTCCAAATTCTCAAATTTCTAATTTCCAAAATCCCCAATCTCAAAATTTCCAAATTCTCAAATTTCTAATTTCCAAAATCCTCAATCTCAAAATTTCAAAATTCTCAAATTCTTAAATTCCAAATTCCCAAATTCTTAAATTCTAAATTTCCAAACTCCAAATTCTCAAATTCCAAAATTTCCAACTCAAACTTCCAAATCCTTCCACTCCCAAAATGCAAAATCCCCAAATTTTTTCAATTTATTCTAATCGCACTTGCCTACATTAATCTACCATGCCTGTCACTATACACCAAATTTACCCCATATCGCCATAACGTAGTGAAATTAAAGAGACTGTTAAAATAAATCGTGCGTCGTAAAGCGGCAGCAGTAGTGCGAGAAATATGAGTACATAATATTTTCAATTTTCATTATGTTATCATGACAAAGCAGTAAATAATTTGACACGGTGCAACAGTTAGTTGAACCTGTATTTTTATACACGTCGGAGTTAAAGGTGCGGCTAACTGTTGTTGCGTTACACCTGATGCTCGATAACGAAGCATGGTGCATCGTTGTAATAGCTTCCTCGTAAATCACGTTGCCGCGGCTCTACGTAATAAACATTGAATTTACCTGTTGGCTACAGTGCAATCGAGAGTTTTCATCTTGAAACTGTAGAAATAGAGTATGTGTCCCAATTACGGAGGTTTTAATACGGTTTACGTGTATGGTAATTAAAAGGTACTGCAACGTATATGCTTGACAGTCGTACTCTTGACTGCTACGTTACCTATATACGGGTAACGTCCATAATGCTTAACTTCCGTCGGAAGCTTTTTAGAATCTATCTATTTGTATTATATTACGCATTTGTCCATTAATGGTGAGATTTTTAAGTAAAAGAAAAACGGTTTTGTTGTTCTTTATAATGAACTCTTCTTGTAAAACATTTTGAATGTCCGCCGTTTCAATTTATAAAAACAAACGCAAGTCGTGACAAGTTCGCGCCGTAAATTACCGAACGTAGCCGAATAGTTCCGATCGACTCGTACACGTTCTATGGTAGACATGCAGTTCTTTCTTTAACGTTACTTTTCAACAATTAACTTAATTCAATATTTTTGTATTAATTATTTGAAACTGTGAATAAATATAATAAAATGTTATGAAAATATTTGGTGAGATTTATTAAAAATAAAAATCATACTCTATAGTATAAAATCATAACGTAACGATTCGGTTAGTAATAGATAATTTTCATTGCTTCGGCGTGACAAGTTACTGACATAATGTAAGTCTCTTATGGAGACATTAAACCAATATTCAGAAGTGTATTAATTGATACAATGAGCGTAACATTAAAGCAGTTAAAAATTTTTTGAGGTAGAGTTTTTGTTTTTAACAAAGCTTGCCAAATATTTTATATCATGTTATTATTTATACCAAAACAAAAATTAATTTTTTATTTTAATTTTATGGGGTTAATCCATAAATATGCATTTAAATTTTAGAACGATTAATACAGAGGCAAACTTAATTATCAGGCAGCAATAATTTTGGCTTCGCATATATTTGTGAAGAAACGAAACGTGAAAAATGCTTGTCAAAGTCAAGATTTAATGGTTGGTGTCAGCGTGTCTCGTTTCCGGTCACGCCCTTCGTTTAGGATCATAATTCAAGTCAAACTATCATGCGCTCTTTTCAAGCTAACGATATGTACGGTTGGGTTTTGTCGAATTTTTTTAAATGCTGTTTTTACTCTGATTAATTTAAATTACTAATGAAATACATTATGTTATTATTTGTGCATATGAGATGCGTTTTAGGATTAATAAAAAATGGGAAATAAATTTAAATATTAAATTTCTAAATTTACAGGTTTTTAAATTATTTAATTTGATAAATTTCTAAATTTTCAAATTTGATAAATTTTCAAATTATGCAATTTTCAAAATTTTTAAATTTCTGAAGTTTTCTAATTTTTCAAATTTTCGAATTTCTCAAATTTTTCAAATTCTTAAATTTTCAAAAGCACCATTAGAATTATCAAAGTTTCAATATCTGAAATTATCCAAAGCATATTTATTCATGTGTCCAATTTATCACAGCATACTGGGAAGTACATACGGAAATATAATTTTTATCTGAAGAGCGTTTAGGAAATCTGCTAGCAGTGATAGTGGTATTCCCAGAAGAATGACTAATTTGAAAAATACATATATATTCATCGGATTATATTTTCTTTTAATACGTCGATAAGGATAATGATTCACGAGATTCCGTGTTATATATATGTACTACGGTATACTAATCTTATCTCTTCATTTACGACTATTATTAACAGGAAACTAGTATTTTTAGTTTTATAAATTTATCGAATCACATCTTAAAAATTCAATACAAGCGTAAGTGCTTAAATATGTATGTTCGTAGTATAATGGCATTAAGTAAATCATGCAGTGATTTTATTATGATGCCAGTATACGTGTTTTTTATCGCTGTTCATTACTATACATACTAGATTACTATATATACTATACATGTAGATTATTAACATATACTTGTTACTATTT